GACGGAGCGTAGTCGAGTAGCAGGAGGGGGTTCAGAGAGGGAGCGAGAGGGAGAAAGTTGCCTTCACGGTGAGCTCCCGCTGTTACTTACAATCAAAATGTCGTGACTTTCGATCCGGCCGGAAGGGACGTCATCGAGGGAGCTGCGACGGGAGCAGCTCGTGCATCGGACTGGAGTCGGAAGTAGCAGACGAGGGAGAGGGATGAGCTCGGGATGAGAGGAAATGAGTGGGAGGGAATTCACGAGTGGTAGAAGAGTCGAAGGTTTTGGCTTCTATTTAACGACGCGAATGGCGCGATCGACGAGCTGTTTTGCGAGAAATCCGGGAAAAGATCGCTTCGGCGCCGAATTTAGCGGGATATCCGCTGATTTTCTGGACTTCCTCGACAGATACGAGGATTCCAACCGGGATTTCAGCAGGATTTCTGGCAAGGTTTGTGGATCCAACGGGTAAGGTACGTAGGATTTTTTTTTTTTTTTGCTTTGATTTCTCCTCTCTTTTGTTCCTCTGGATATTATATGAAGGTCAACACATACTATACGAACTAATCATTTTACACTGATTCTACTATACTATGTGAATCATACCAGATGATTTCCAATCGTCTCAATAATCATTATATATGAATAGAGAGGAATTAAACTAATCATACCGTATGAACTTTTGATCACACTATATAATAAGTTTATAGATTTGAACAGTTTGTTTGAACGACTACTTCCATCATACTGGATGAGTCTTATTTTTGAATTGATTGTGCTGTATGAACACAAATTATACTATTTGTACAAAGACCATCAAATTAAAAATTTAGAGTTTTTTTAAAGCCTTATACTTAAGCGTACTTTTAAAGTCATTTTCATAAGGACTTTAATTATTAAAGGAACTCTGAGGGAGATTTTTTTTAGAGAGCTTTGGGATTTGAGACGAAGAAGAAGGTGAGGTTGTGTGTAAGAATTAAGGAGTATGAGGTTTATTCACATAGTTTCTCTAGGTAAGCTTGTATGTAGCTTCCTCTTATGGTTTTGGTGAGCTCTTGAATATTCTATTGGCAGAGAAGCTTCATAGTCAGAGTCTGTGGTTCTCTGGCTTTTCTAGGAGGGTGAAAAAGGATTGTATTGATTCCTTCAATCATAGAGAGTTCATTCAACATTTAATTGTCTTAATATTGTCATAATTAAGTGATCTTAGGCGCACTGAATTTTTCTTGTTAGGCCACTCGATTCGATTATAAGCATGCTATATTTGGATATTAATTGGTCAACCAATTAACACTTTGAATTTTTCAAATATGCTTTAGAGCATTGATTTGGGAACATTTGGGATCAGATTGGTTATATTTTAGTGTTGTTGCGTTTGTCTTGTTTAGGCATTCAATTTGACTATAAGTTTTGTTAAGACTAGAGTTTTGATGATCCTGAATTTAATTTTGAAAGTTTTCAAGTCAAAAATACCTCAAGATTTGTGTATAATTAGGACAATTTTGGGTGATGTATCAAATATCACAATCCTATAGTGAACCATTCAATATTTAATATTTTTTAACATTCGTAGTGTTCCCAGACTTATCCACTTTCCTTTTATGTTCACTTTTGAGAAGTGACACATAATCTAAATTTTGATTAGTTAATAAAAATTTACTAGGATGTCACGTGACTTAATATAATCAAATAATAGTCAAAAACATGCTAAGGGTGGGCAGGAAGGTTTCCCGCAAATGATGAACAATTCAACATAATTGTCACGGGTGAATTCATTTTATGAAGTTTAATATAAATTTTATGATTAATATCTGATCCAATATCCACCCTCCAATTTTGTCAGACAAAGAACAAAACCTCCCAAATAAAAAATTTTAATATTATTTTAGTTCATATTTTGTTTGCATGATCAGGATCAACAATAGAGGAAAAATGATTCACCCGTGACAGTTTCGGTAACAGTTTAGTACTTACATTCGTACGATTTTCTAACAAAATGAGGAATCATGAAGCGAATAAATATAGGTCTGGCAAGCTAACTGCTAATTAAATCATCTTATAGGAACTTCCACAAGCGAATGCAACATTAAAAAAGACATAAGGTAACGTTTTATGGAGCAGAATGTTGAACTTTAAGAGAGAAACATAAAATTAAGCATTGCAAAGATGAAGATACTCAGATGGATGGGTGGCTTCATTCTTAGAGATAAAATGTGAAATAAGTATATATGTGAAAATGTTAGAGCAGCTCCAGTGGTAGACAAGATTAAACAGGGTCATCTTAGATGGTTTGGTCACATAAAACTTTAGCATTCCAATAACCCTATTAGAAGAGTTAATGATTATATTTGGCTTGTATTAAGAAATGTAGAGATAGATTTAAAAAGCTTTGGTTATAAATAATTAGAAATTACCTTTTTTTGATTAAATGTAATTGAGAATCTGATTCTTAATAGGACACAATGAAAGAAAATGATTTATGTAGCCGACCCATGTAGATAACGGCTTGATGATGATACTGTTGTTGTTGTTGTAGGATGGTAACTAAAACAATTTCCACATAGCTGCTAACTCTATTTTTTTAAGCAAGCTATATTTGAAGAAAAATCATGATTGAGAGTTGAAGAATTGGTGAAGTACATGGAAAAGTAAACCTAACATACATTTCTTTGCAATGTAGCTCCATGCAACTGCAATTTGTGCCAGGCCCTTTGGAGATAAACATTTACGGCAGTTTCTAACAGTTTATTTAACTTCATCTGTGTGGCAAGGAATCCATAACCTATATAAAAATTAAACAATATTAGTGCAGCAACCACTCTGGCACGATCTACGTTTGACTCAGATAAACACTACTTCTGTTAAGATAGTTGCTATTTGAATGCTTTACATTTTTGCAACTTATGTAGTTTTGATGATTCCAAACATTTTTGTTCAAATGTGTATTTATCTCCTAACAATTTTAGAAGATTTGTATTTGCTCTTGTGTGTACTAACATTTCAGAAAAAACGAACTCCAGACTACGAAGACTTCAAATCAAATTCAGAATGAGATACTTTGTAAAATTTGAAGTTTGCATTTCTTTGAAATTAAATTGAAAGAGAGTCACTCCCTAAAAGGACGACGGTTCTCTGCTGCACCGGGGAGTGGTGAAAAGAGTGTGTTGTAAAGGCTTTTCCGCCTTGCTGTGGGTGCAAAAGGAGAGTCACTATTGGTATTAGTGCAATACTCAAAGGGTGCCTCTGGGGAGTGGATGTAGGTCTTGTTTTAGACCGAACCACTATAAATCTGGTGTCATTTACTTTACTGTTTTTACGTTTCCGCATTTTAATTCTTAGTCTTAAAAACTCTGTGGTTGAAAAACTTTTTCTACAAAACTTAAAAGAAACAATTTTTATTTCGGTTCAACATAATTTTAAAAGAGGGATTAAAATTTTTTAAACTACCAATTCACCCCCCATCTTGGTAGCCTTTGGGACATTAACTTAGGCTTAACAACCTAATTACTAGACTCAACAAAGAGTGCATTTCTGAACGGGGTAATAAAGGAAGATGTCTACGTTGAGCAACCCCCCGGATTTGAAAGTTCACAATTTCCAAAGGTATTCGGTGGTTTAGGAGGTGAAGGGCACTAGCAGACAAAACAAAATAACATTGGAGATTGTAAATTTACAAAAGCTGGTAAAATTAGTTTGTCAAACATCAGAAATGGAAGTACCTAAAAATGTTATTAAGCCACAGATTCTATCACTCGCTAAGGGAAAGTTTAATTTTATGTTTCTAAAAGACATGTATTTTAAAAATATAAGATGAATAAAGTGTATGTATTTTAAATAAATATTAGTTATTTGGTTGATTTTAAATCATATATATATAATCCACCAAGGGGCCTATACGAGCACCACTAGTTGCTTGGCATGTGGTACCAATAGGCGAAGGGTAGCAACGAGCACCAGGAAGTTTGACTACAGCTCGAAATCACAACAAAGCATTAAAGTGCGTTTGAAATCTGATTTTAAAGATTTTCAAATGGAAGGAAAACATATATTATAAAATATTTCAAATATCACAATTTTTCGCTAAATTCTTCTGTTTGATACCAAACACCAAAAACATTAAAATGTAGAAAAATAGAATGCTACATACCCTACTAATGAAGCTTATCAAATAAAACCTAACAAAGTTTGTCCATAAGTTCATTGCAGAAGATTAACACTTAACAGAGGATTTTAATATAAAATTATGATTTCAAATCCTGATCATCAATGTCCTTAAAGAGTAATCAAGCATTATATTCCACCTAGAAAATCACAAAGTTATTTATTAAATCAAGCTGAACAGTGGAGCCAATAGTTAGTTAATTGCCAAGGTTTCTCCTAGATCCTGGTATACTTATCATCTGTCTGCAAACACAACCATTTAACATTCGAACATCAACATATTCAACAAGATCAAAGGATACATGAGCATATATAGTTCATATACTTCAAATGAATATTGGTCATGCTATGCATGACAAGGCAAAAAATGGGCCTTCAAGTTATTTTATGCACAAAAATAAAATTACAATAATGAAACAGGGAGAAAAGGTAACTATTGACCAAGCACACAGTAGTGTCTAAATTTAATGGGAGATTGTGTTGCACGTATTATCAACGCAAGAAAAGGAATCCTGATGTGTATTATAGAAAGCGTCATAAGTAATAATTGTCATTTCAAATGTTATTAACAGAATATGTCCAACATCAGTACTTTCTTTTATTCAAGTTTTTTCAACAATAGCTACATGACAATACATTCACCAAACTTTTGACTACCTTTTACTTCAATTCATGTATAACAGATTGCAGAAAAGATACAACTGCATCACCTAAAACCAGAGCCCGAGGCATGGAAATGGCTAGAGAAGGTGAAGAGATTAAATTTGCATCGGAATGATGATGATGAACTCCCAGCTGCACTAGTAGTAAGAGCAGACTTTACAATTAATAGCCGACCCTCCTGAGGTTTAAGACAAATCAGAATCTCCGCAGAATGCATCAGGCTCAAATGACCTTGCAGCTTCTTCATTGTAAACTCCGGCTATCACTTTTCCTTTAGTATTAACAGGAATGTACTTTGGATTCTCGACATCAACAAGGATAATAACACAAACAGCCAAAGAAATTGCCAAGCCAATCAATGTAAACTTCACTTTGGTCAGTACAGGCTTCACCTGAAGTAAAGATAAGAAAAAAAGAGAAAGAACTAGGGCATGGAAGCATAAAATATTTAGCAGAGAAGAAGTATGTCAAAAAATTAATGACATACTGCCAATTTATTTAAAAAATGAAATGCCTATGAACAAGCGAAATGACATTCCTGAAGCAAATGTTTCGATAAAGAACACATGAAGACACTACCCAGTGAATGAAGAAGTCATGCATGAAGAAACTCACAACAGACTAAATTCCACAGAAGTAATACAAAAAGTTTTTCTGTGAATCATAAAACTCTTTTGTAAATTCAAGATCAAACCATCCACTCTAATACTTGGAATTGGCATTCAATGGTTTGATTTGTTCAAATAATCTTGGACAAAATCCAAGGTTACACTCTAATTCTGCCTAGTAGTTTTATGCGATACTATCTAATCCCGGGCATACAAAATTCTAACAGTAGTATAATGCTGTCAGTCCAACTAAAAATCCTACTTAAAAAGAAACAAAAAGCCTTGTATGAAGAAAAGGGGCTAGTTCCATCCTTCACTCGGTGTCTAAATTAACCACGACACAAGCATTCCTTTCTCCAGCATCGTGTTAAAGAACTCATTGACAGATGGTGTCTCTAGTTTTCGTAGAGATAAAACAGAAGTGCAGAAACATTTATCTATTTAGCTGCCATAGCCGTACCAAAAGGTTTATTAGTTCAGCGAATTTGGCTTAGTGTAATGAAGCGCTGTTTGGCATTATTGTCAAGGATATTGTGCTATGCAATCAATTAAAATGGAGTTGATGGCTGCTTGGAAAAACTTGTTGAGGCACAAATAAGTTGATTGAATAACTGAAATAAATATAATCAGAAATGTCATATAATTATAAAATAATATTATAATCTAAATAAAAATATAAATAATAATTATTTATTAATTAATTAGATATAACAACAACAACATCAAGCCTTCATCCCACTACGTGGGATCAACTACATGAATCATTTTTCTCCATTGTGTCCATATAAGAGTCAAATTCTCATTTAAATCTAATAAAGAAAAGTCATTTCAAAAATTTTTTAAGTCTTTTTAGATCTACCTCTACATTTTTAACATAAGTCAAATTTAATACATCTACTCTCCTAAGGAAAGCCGCCATTTTATGTGACCAAACCATCCAAGGCGACTCTCGCTAATCTTATCATCCACTGGAGCTACTCCAACATTTTTACAAATATGATCGTTTTGTATCATGCCTCTAAGAGTAAAGCCACTAAATTAAATAGATAGAAAGTTAGAAATCTATAGAAGAGCCTTTTTTAGAGGCTAACAAAACTTTGTATGAAAGATGCTTTTCATCTTTGTCAAATCTGCAAACACTTTCATTAAACTTAAAAAAAATAAAAAAATCACCTCTTCAAAATCCATTGTTCTACATTTGGGGTCAAAATACTTTTTTGTATGACCTAAGCTGCTTTTAATCTATTGCTGATTATTTTGTTATTTTCTATACATTGGTCAATCAACTAAAGTCCATGTTTATGCTCATCGATCTTTGTTGACCTCGTTTCGGTACATATCATTCTAGGTGCATTTCATAGGATAATCCTCTATTGATTTGAATCATCGTTGGCTTTCAGAGTCATCCATCGAGGCTGATTTATGCATTCTTTGTGCAATCTCATATAACAGTAGATTGAGTTATTCATGGTCACCCATAGATTTTCTGGGTTGCATCATGCTCTTCATCATATTTGGAGACATGACGAGCATAACAATGATTTGTCAAGATTTCTACTCGGTTACATGCACGTGAATCTTTTATATTTTAAACTTTCAAACATAAAAATCATCGATCAAGGTATCATTCCATAAAACAAATTGTTCAATTGTGTACAGATCATCGAACCGATTTGAATAGGCCTGTTTGGGCCAAATTGGGCTTCATTTATCATGAACTAAGGATTTAAATAGATTATTCTTTAAGCATTGTATAATTAAATATATATTTAACTATATATGCTACTTGAGATAAATGTTTTGAACATATATATGACTAATTTATAAAGTTATTTATAATTTAAATTATATTATATTACAAATATATAATCTATTACATTCTCTTCTTATTTTCTAACTAAATGAGATGAACTTTTAAAAAAATTGTACAGCAAAAAACCTCAAAAAAAGACAATGTCTCCCTTGGGCCACATGCCACCTCTCTTTGGAGACAAAAAAAGAATCGCGCTATTTCTAAAGCTTTTCATAGATGACACTCGAGCCTACTTTTCCCCTTCATGCAAGAGACTATGACACCGGGCAATTTTCTTGCTCGTAAATGTTGGCCACCTACTTTGTTAAAAGCTATTGTAGAACTCCCATTAACTCCCTTAATGCGCTTGCCGAATCACAAATTGTCTCTATGATGCGGACATCGGCACGAAAATCTGGCGCATCTATCACAGGAGGCGTCGTAAATCGACGGCTCTGATTTAAGTTGCCATTTATGAATTATTTTCTGCATTTTAGTTTCTATTTTATGTTATTTCCTATTTTACCCCTAGGTTAATTTATTTGAGTGTTGTGGTCCAAGGGGCATTTTTGTAATTTTCTATTTTCTCATATTATAGCCTATAAATAAGGGCCTTAAGCTATTGTAATGGATGGTTGATTAATATGAAAAATTGTTTCCCACACTTGTGTTCTTCTTATGAGAGAGCGTTAGTGAGATTCCTATGAGAGGAATCGAAATCTTCACCAGCCGCAGGATGGGTCCGGGCTCGTGATTTGAAGTCCCTTGGAGAAGGGCAACGGATCACCCGTCAGTCTTTGGAAGAGTCCGAGGCTCGCGGTTTTTATTTTATATCTTTGTTTTTTTCTTTGGTTCATTCTTGATGCGTCATCCTCTACCTCCGTCCACCATCGTCATCCCCATTTCCACCAAAAGCCGCCGGCCACCTCACCCGAAGATCCACCACAAACCGCCGGTCATGGATCCCTAGCCGCCGGCCTCATCCTTTCCCCTCTCTCCTTGGATTTCCTAATTAAGAGTGCATGATATTAGGAATTAATTTGAAATTCTAATTGTTCAAAATTTGAAATTCAAATTTCTTTCCTAATTTAGCTCACATAGTTTTCGAAAGCGCTCAATTGAAATCATAAACCCATGACAAATTTTGGATTTCAAATTTCAAATTTGAAATTTTTCCTAATTGGGTTTGATCCACATTTGGAAGGTTTTAACTCTCCAATTCAAAATTCAAATTTGAATTAGGAGTTAAATGCCCCTCAATTTCCTCCCTTTAATTAAGGAGTTAATCGTAGCTTTAAATCTGAAATTTAATTTCAGATTTAAGGATTAATTCACTTAAGTAATTGGGGTCCACTTATTTGAAATCAAACCCCTCTCCCTTCCTCTCTCCTAGGTCGGCCCCTCTTCCTCATTCCTTTGCTTAATTAAGAGTCAATTAATGCTCTTAATTAACTCCTTCATTAACTCAAAGCTCTTTGGAAAGAATAACAAAATCTGAGATTTTGTGTTTGACCGAAAATTCCAACCAGTAAAATCCCATTTAATTGTTTTCCTAAACTCTAAGCCCTTTTGGAAATAATGTCAATGCCCGTAACTCCTCTTGGCTGAATTTCTCATTCATATCTCTTTCTTAGGCATTATTTCAGCTTTTGGAAACAAAAATTGCTGAATAAAAAAATCTGAACGGTAAGGAATTAAATCCCGGTTTCCTGGTTTTCTCTCTTACCCGACCACCTCTCCCTCTCAAATTCCCCCTCTCCCAATTCAATATCTTGCTGGAATGAAAGTTTGAGTTCTCCTTCCAATCCCCCTTGCTCCTAAGCCTAGAATCTTGAGATTTCTCTCAGATTTTGGCTCCATTCCTCTCAGGTTTTGAATAAGAAACCTGAAGAAAAATTTCAGATTTCCTGAAGAGTATCTTTCAGCTTTTTGAAGAGGAGATCCTCTCCCTAGCCAAGGCTCCGTATTCGTTCTACATCACTCTAGTGTTGCCTAGCTATTTGCGGAAGCACACAGTCATGCATTTCCTTTCCCGCACAAAACATGCCAACAGTTGTTGTCCATTATGCCGCCCAGCCACCTTTCGACACAACCACGACCACCATAGAGTTTGTCTCCTCACTTTCCCATAGATAGACCTTCACAAAACTCACCACCAAACTCCTCACAATAGTCATTGAGTGACAGTTAACTCTGCCTATGCGCCATTCACCGCACCTTACAACCACTGTCACCTATCTGTTGTGTTGGCTAGAATTTTATACTTGAGCATGGTCAAGCTGCCTCCTTGAGTTATCATTAGTTAAAGGTTTATGCATTTTTTTCTATTGATTTTCTCATGATATGTTTGGTCAGTATTAGGAGTATTATTATGCTTTTTTTTCATTGTTGCATGTAGAGTTTGGCTTCATATTTTGATTAGATTTGTTTATCTCATAATTATCTTTTTATCAATCTATGACATTTTCGTACACCTATTCATAGCTGGTTACAATCAATTCATGCTAAAATCATAATGACCAAATCCATGGCATTGGAATTATCGCTTCACATTTATACTCAAAATGAGAATGTTTGTCTCCATTTTGGTGAACTATTTTCTCACATGATCATTTCATTTTGGAATTCATTGAGCTTTATTTTTTTTTCTAGGATGTTTCTGAGTAAAAATAGTCTACCTTGTACATATGGTTCAAAGAAGTATGATGTCCCTAATCCCTTAAAATGATATGATATTTAGCCCAAATTCTTGCTTTATGGTTTATATTGTTAGATTTTTTAAATGCACGTCAAAAATCATGATTTTATTCCACAGTAAGAATTATTTTAAACATCTACTTCTTTCTAATTTTGAATATCCATAACACCGCATGTCACTTTGAGGAATCATGCACAAAGCGATAGTTGAGCATCTCCTTGATAGTGCGTAAATTGATCTTACTCAAACACCTCGATGTGCATACCTTAAGTGGCTTTTTGTATCAATTTAAAC